GTTATTGAACCTGCCCAACAGAAGGATACAAATCACACAATATTTTAGTACATTCACTGAGATTGGAGGAAGCACACAGAATCACAGAATGGCAAGGGTTGAAGGGACCTCGGGAGATCATCTAGTCCAACCCCCCTGCTAAAGCAGGTTCACCCAGAGCATGTTATACAAGACATCATCCAGGTGGGCTTTGAATATCTCCAGAGAAGGAGACTCCACAGTCCCCCTGGGCAGCCTGTTCCAGTGCTCTGTCACCCTCAAAGTAAAGAAGTTTTTCCTCATGTTCAACTGAAACCTCTTATGTTTCAGTTTGTGCCCATTGCCCCTTGTCCTGTCACCGGGCACCACTGAGAAGAGTCTGGTTCCGTCCTTGTGACATCCACCCTTGAGATATTTGTACATGTTGATTAGATCCCCTCTCAGTCTTCTTTTCAGAGGACGAGCGATTCCCATTTGCAGACAACTGGCAGTGCAGTTTACAACCCCCTCCTCCTCTTCTCTACAGATACAAATGAAGCTCAGCAATAAATACTTACACAGGGGCTAAAGATGCTCTTAACATTGTGGAAGCCTGGATCAGAGAAACAAAGAAAAAAAAGAAATCACAACAGATTAGTCCAAATCTCACACCAACAGTGTTACTAATGAGGTCCTCAGTGAATTCTTTCACTGATGTTCTGCAGTTCTTTTCCTATAAAAACTATGTTGCAAAATAGAAACACAGCTAAAGGAAGAGAGGACTTCAGTGTTTATTTTTCTTTTCCCTTAAGGTGTTTCACAGGTAAAACCTTCTTTTGTTATGACCTGGCTATGTTGTCTTCACTGTCATATTCCAAAAACTACCTATACTTGAAGCATTTTTAAAAAAATAAATAAAAGGAAAAAAGTGAGTAAAAACTACCATCCCACTGAGGAAGATTAAGAACTTGCTAAACACATTTATTGACTTCAAAAATTTTCATACCTTAAAGTCGCAATACTATTTCACTGGAGACCTAGCACATATTACTGCACCCAAATTTGCTATCATTCTTTGTTTCGACACTAATGTTGTCAGAGTGCCTGTCACTACTAATACATATGCCCATACATAAATATTAGTATGTAAAGAAAAGACTATGTATTTTAGTATGTATAAAACTGATAAGGAACAGCATGCCATTTCTCCGTGGTTCTGCCTAGGATAAGTTCAATTTAAGCCTGGATATTTCCTCTCTGATGTGGTGTGACACAGAGCATATGCAGGCGCCACTGCTGAACAAGTCAAAACTTAAAAACATATACACCATATAAAAGTTCCATATAAAAGCTGTCTGCTTCAGTAAATGTTTTTTTTGCTGGAGCTAATTGCAGGTGAACCAAGAAGCAGCAATTCTGGCATAATAGTGCTTTATATCATACATTCTGATGTCAACTGCACGCCATATTTGCAGAATATTCAGTGCCGTCTCGTTGTGTTGATTCCCCTACTCACTTTCTAAAAAATCTCTCATTACCACTTACGCCTTTAAAACCGGCCTTCTCTTCTAACCTAGCCTCTTTCAATGGGAGCTATATAATCGATGCCTATTGTCAGATTTAAAACTGAGGTATTTAAGGAGACAAAAAGCATGAAATACCATACAGAATATTGAATTACACCAGCTGACATATTCTTGAACACACTGCCTCTTGGGTATCCTTTGTAAAACAAGGAACTGCTCTCTTAAATGCGAAATAAGCTTATACGCACATTGGAAAGCATTTTATGTTTAAGTCAATGAATTACTTGTACACAATAGACAATTAACGGGTCATATACTTCAAAAATTAACCTGTTTTGACAGCAGTTCTCAAATCAGTTTATTTTACGCAATACAAGTATTTCAAAGCATCACATCTACCTAAATGGTTTTCCCCTCATTTATTTGTATTCATTTTCCTTAGCATTTTTGATAAATATCAAAAGTTAATTTTTGTTTAAACAAAACTGTTTTCCCAGTAAAAACCTATCATCTTGTACCTGAGTGCGCAATGAAATCACAAATCACTTTCACTGCCTTCCTCAGCACCCTTCTCCATTAAAGGAAATGGGGAAGAAAGCGACTCCAGTACGTTAAAGCAAAGGAAATGACAGAGCCCTTGAAGATGAGAAGGTGAGACAAAGAACAGTAGTGAGAACAGAAATAGAGCAGGTCACTAAGAGTAAACATATATATATATATAAGCTCTCTGCTTCTCAGCAAAGTCCTTTTTTACCCACCAGTTCTTTGCTGCCTTAGAAAGAAAAAACGTGCTCCAACCAAAATCTAACTAAAGGATATATAACTGATAAAGATACATACATCATCCTTCCACACAACTAAAACTTCTTGGCAAGTCTGAGACTTTGTAAAGTCTTTTTATAAATTTCAAATGACAGAAACTTCAACTGGAAAAACATTCAGCTTTTAAAAATCAATCAGATCAAGCAGGACAAAGTCCTACTAACTCCAAATTACTTTTTAAGCCGGCAGATGGAGCACAGCAAAGCATTTAGCACGGTTTGGCCCTGTAGTCTACCTACACCAAAAAGGCACCGCACAGTGAGGCAGACACTCCACTGGAGCTCTAAGGGCCTGACCACCAGGATGGGAGAGCCTTATTGTCCAGCACTCACTTTTCTGACCAGACCCAAGTTGATCAGTCTAGAACCTGCACAGGAGGAAGGAAGTGCTCTCAGGCTTTTGGTGTTTCTGAGAAAGCAATAAGGATGCAGCTCATATTATGTCAGGTTCAGTGAGGCAAAACAGAAATGGGGAGAAGTTTTTCAGGGCTAGTTTGGCCTTCACTGCATCTTCAGTTCTGAATCTGACTATGATCAGCACCGCTGATAAGCAGAAAGAATGCAACCATGTTACAGGCAGATATTTCCTTTCTTCATTTACATGATTGCAATTAGTCTTAAGTAAGCTAATCTGTATCTATCCAGTATGGCATACTGAGTAAGACACTGGCTTGGGTCTCAGGAGATACGCTTCTAGCCCTGATTCAGCTACCGACTGCAGACAGAATTTAAAGGTGTCATTTCACATCTCTGAGCCTTGATTTTTCTCATCTGGAAAGCAAATACAGGCATCAGTCTCTTGAATAAGTTGGGTTTTGAGATCTACCAATGAACAGCAGTGTGCAAGAGCTAAAAATAATTATTTTGCAATTAAAGAATTGAATGCTTATGGCACAACCACCACAAACAGAAAACCAAGAGATTTAGTGTTTGATTATCACAGAATAGTTCTGCAAAATAAGTTAACAGCTGATACAGTATAGTAACAACTCTGGTACAAGTATTTTCCTGTTTGGGAATTTATTTAAGCCTCTATTTTATGGGAACAGGAATTGCAATGAAGTATCAGTAAAGAATCCTTTTCTTCACTGGGCATTTTTTTGTCAGTTACGCAACCCAGCAGCTCTCCTGTGGCTCATAGGGCTGTGATTTCAGGGTCCATGCTACTCTGGGTCAGGCAGCTGAGGCACCCTGTGAAGCACACAGCCACGCAGCGTGCCGAGGGACAGCATCAGGTGCTCTCCATCTATTGCTAAATGTGTCTGCAGAGATTTTCCATCAGTTTAATTTTCAAACAAGTGATCCAAATACAGTACCATTCAGCGCTGACCATTCAGTTTAACATCCAGGCTACTTCTTGCCCATAGGGCCTCAACTTTTCATCTTTTTATCCTCATTTTTAAAGAGGAAAGACATGCGGGCACTCCAGAGCCTCAGAGCCCTGCTACCCTGCCAGCCTTTCCCTTCCTCATACCATGGCCTCTTCAGCTCTCGCTCCCAGACCACTGTCTGGCCGGCACCATCTCTGCACCCACTCCTTGGCTGCTTTTGCCACCTCCTACATGAGCAGCAGCATCAAGGGGAGCCTGTCCCAGCACAGAGCTCAAGCTGATACCCCCCAGCCAGGCCATAATGGTTTGTACCAAGCCCCATGCCTCATTTTTAATGCTGGCAGATTTGACCACTTGGAAGCAGCAGTCTTGGCAACAGGAAGCACTGGGTTATGGACTCAGGTGGAAATTAAGCCTGGGAAATACGACCCATACTCTGCTGAAAATTTCATGGCTTCCTTCAGAGTAACATTTCTAATGAAAAGAGCAAAATACAGACCCATCCTAACGTTTAATTTTAACTTGGTTTAATACTCCTTAAGCAGAGTGCTCTTCACCTCACGAAGTGCCTTGCCCCACACAAGCAGAGAAGGGTAAATGCACATTACACATCCCCTAGCAGACAGCCCACCAAAGCAAATACACTTCCTCCTCAGCACCTCCTTTCACATTTCACTAGGTAGCATTTGTTTGCTTGTTTCCATTTCTCCTCTTTGGCACAGATCTGAGATATCCCAATCTCAGGATATTTACCCAGTTAAATATCTTTACATAACCTAACCCCAAAAAGCTCCGAGATATCCCAATCTCAGGATATTTACCCAAATATCTTTACATAACCTAACCCCAAAAAGCTCTGTTACGCTCCAGTTCCTGACTTGCGCATTAGCTTTAACAAAAGAAAAACCACACCTCAGATACAGCTGGGTCCTACAAATCAGCTCTTGGGCTTTACTTACATCAGCACACTTCCTTCATTTAAGACATATAATCTAGCCAGTGGAAAAAGGTCATCGTCTTCACTGGTACCTCTGTACATAGCAGATCCAAAGCCAAGCTTCCACATGCGTTACTTCTGGTGCCAGTGCCAGCTGAACCAGCCTCCACCCGTCTCAACGCATTGCTACCACAGAGAGCAAAAGCAAGACATTCTTGGCAACAAAAACCTGCCCTACCACCAAATTAATAACAAAACGCTTTTTAAGTTCTTTGTAAAACTTTAGCTATATGCTTTTAAAAACGGACTTCTACTTTGCAGATACATGTAAAAACATGAAGCCTTTTAAAATTATATTTAGGAACAAAGGGATACATTTAACTGAGGAAAAGGTTAATACTGAAATCTGGAAATGGGCAAAACAGAGCTCACTTGATCCTTTTGTTTTTTTGATCCTCACAGATCCTTTCTTGTCTTTCCTGGTGTTCACTCTCAAATCCAAATGCTGAACTCTGATATCTTATAATTTGTGTGGCAATAGTGCAAAAACTCCCATGGTACTGTGTTTTTCTGAGAGAGTATTTGGATGCTGAGAGCTGGGACTTACAACAGCTGCTTTTAAATAATTGGGCAAGAGTAAAACCATCAGCACTGTGCATTCTCAAAGCACTCTATAGAAAGTAAATTCTTAAGATTCTTATAAGGTTAGTAGACACATTACGGTCTTCATCTCCAGGTGATGAATCCAAGGTCACAGACTGAAAGGCAAACAGAGTCAAAGGCACTGCTGACAGGTAACTTCCTCATTATACATCCATCATGTCAACCACCAGACGATACCTCAATTGGCCAAGTTTACATAGCTCCTCTTTACTACCGGTTTTCTTAGATGAAAAAGTATTTATTTCCTCAGCATTTTCTCCCAAGCCCTTTCCCCAATCTTACCTTCCCTGGAACAGGTTAAATATTAATTCAAGCTTTTGAGTAACAGTATTCCTTAAATTGCCAGTCAGTGAAACAGTGTGAAGAACATGGGGCGTACAAGACTCATCTGCAATACATGACTCCCAACATTCAGGGATTTAATCTTGAAGAAAATGCTTTTCATGCAAAACGTATCTTGAGACAGAACCATTTGTCATAATTGAAACACATGCAGAAACCAGGTGTCTTAAGGACAGGAAAAGAAACAAGCACAAGAAAACAGCAGCCCAAGCATAGCTCATTCTGGTAGGATCATGGGGTATGACTTGTGTTTGTGTTGCTTCTTGCCAAAGCCAAACCAGGTACCATATTAAGTCAAGTAAATCTGTCACGATGCAGATTAGCCACAGATGGCAGCCCTTAATTTTTGAACGAAGCGAGGCATGAATATGAACAGCATGGAATAAAACAAAGTTCAAAGGGAAAAATATATTCAATATTTATAAAAGAAAACAGATGTACTTCATGTGCAAGCCAAAACTACAAGTGATTTTATCAAATACTGTAGCCCAGTATTCAAACCAACTCCACTTTGCTATTTAATGTATATATTCATAATATGCTGAAGGCTAAAGCTGAAAGTCAGATTCCGTCCTCAGTTACCACTCTGAAAACGTGCTGTAAGAATTCAGTGTAAATTCAATGCAGATTCAGAATTAATAATCAAAGATACATGATGAATATGTGAAGAGTAAAACCAAAGTTTGAGCAAATTTGCACATACCGTTAGAACTCACAAATTTATGTTGAGCTCAATCGTTATATGCTAACAAGAAGACTGCTACAAACACCTTTGATGGGTTAGACTCCAAGACTGTGTAACCTGGCAGGTCTACTGGGGCTATGCAAATTTATTTCACAAGATGATCTACAAAAGTTTTAATTAATTTTTTTTCTTACACTAGAGATACGCTGTTATGAAAACTTCCCACTTGACATATAAAACAGGTTCTCTAAGACATCTGAAGTGTACATTAAAAAGTCACACTGTAATACTATGTGATAATGTAATGACAAGACAAAATGTCCAGAAAAAGGATAAAATACTATATATGAACAGTGAGGGGAGGCTGAAAGCTATCTACATATTCAAGAAATACCTCAGAATTAGAGTCAGATAGCTTTACAAAAATTTTATAAGCAACTCTGTTGTAAGCTATTACATTCTACACTGTATAAAGTTACATTTAACTAAAGCTACTTGCATAAAGGCAAAACTTTTCTTTAGCAAAGATCATTTAATTCATGATTTCTCATCTGTAATCAACTTTTCTCGATGTCAAACCAGACCATTATGAGAGGGAACAAAATGCTAAATGTCAGGCAAAAGGTGTCTGTTATGACCATTCACATCATCACCAGGAACAGGTTGACTGATACAGGTGATCTCTTAACACAGGCGAATGTGGATAGCATTCTCTACATCAAGATAAAAAGCAGCACATAAGGAATAGTCCATTGCATTCAATAATCCCATGACTAACTAGTTCTCAAAACAAAATGTTGTTTTAAGCAGGAAGTTGAGTGCCCACAGGGGTTACTGTAATTCTAGGTGACAAATAAGTTTGAAAATAACCTCCAGTTTTTCTTGAAAGGTGAAATCTTGTTTCACCCAAAGAAAGTGTTAAAAATACAAATATGGATTGTTTTAAAGTAGAATACTGACTGACATTTTTCAGAATTGGTGTCAATCACTTTTATGATTTGATTACAGACCAAGTTACTTAGAAGTAGACTCATTTCCTCTCTTTGCAAAGAATGCACTGACTATGGGCAAATTAGATACTTATGGTGTACTTGTAATATTGCCAGAATACAAACTTCCATCTGGGCTACAGAAGTCACAGGCAGTACACAGAATATTATTTGCTCTTTCAGTTTTCAGTGAAAGAGGATCCATTTTAATTGTATGAAAGAATTGGTAGTCTTTACTACAGAAAGAAAGTTTCACCTTAGAAATTAAAAATGCAAATATGTAAAATACATCACACTTCTGAAGAGCACAACTCAATTTGCTGTATTATCTTAAGCAATAATATTTATCTGCTCACTCAAAGGTGTTGTGTGATCAGCTGGTGCTGGTACACTTCAGAGATATCTCATGCTGGTGTTCATGATGAAGAAACAATTGCTTTCTGCATGTTATAAAGAAGCTGTGTTTCAGGTAAAAGTTGTGGACAAAGCTGCTCTTTTGTTGACATGTTATGTGTATTACAAAGCTATAAGGTTACTCAGAACTTCTATTCTGTTCTCCATGCAGAAATCCCAACCCTTGAACATTTTTTGGCTCTTTATAAAACCATACAGTTAATGTCATGACAAGTTAAAATGCATGGAAAATTGTTAGACATTGTGAAATCAAGAGAAATATAGACTGTGACAGACTGCAGCAGGCAATGTGAAAGGATATAAAGATATAGACACTTACATATCCGTCATCACAAGGGCTCATAGAGTAATATCCCTTTATGGGCAAACAGGCACACATTAAAATAAAGAAGATTAAAAAACAAAGTTAACAGAAATAAATCACAGAGAAATGCACAGTTCTAAAAAAACCCAACAAATCAAAATTAGCTAAAAAATAACAGACTACTAGCTTTGAAAAGAACAGTATAAGCACCTTCTCCCAATCTACGTACTTACATGTTTTAGAACTTAAATCAGCGTGTCCCTCTTGCAATGTATTTACAAGTTCTCCTTTCAACACATGGCAAACACACCTTGTCTGCACATTATTCCATTATAACTGTCAGTTAGAATAGCTATGTACCGAGCACTGACACATTTATGTGACTATATGACTTCTATTGTTCACTGCACTGAAGCAGCTAAGAGAGATACCAATGAACGTGGCATCAATCAGAAGACCTCAGCTTCTAAGACAGTAGCAGTAAATATTCTCCATTCTTGCTTCGGCTGGAGTTTCTCACCAGGGCATAATGAAAGCTGAGAGACAATTTAAGGTGTTTCAGTTTTGTTACCAATTCCTCATCCCAAAAGGCTCCAAGGATAAATTAAGAAAAAGTCTCTGGAAGGAAACCTAAGATTTAGTTACTAAAATAAAAAATGGTAATAATACACGGTTTGAGTAGTTTAGTACAAAATATGCCACGTTCTCTTTAATTAGGCTAAAATATTTAACTTGGAACAGCTTTGTATCTAAGAACAGTCTTAATTCAAAATAAAAGTACACAGTTCAACACAACGAAGCAAGACCAACATTAATTATTCTGCTTCTAGTCCTTTTGTGCAAACCTGCCAATACTTACTTTAAGATGACATATTTGTGCAGATAAATAAGTGCATAAACACTGTATTTAGCAGGTTCATCTTTAACAGACATACACAGCCTCATACAGAAGGTGTAAGAAACTTACCACTCTTCACTGAGCAGAAAATAAAGTTCTTTATATTCTTTAACAAATTTTAAAAATCTGACATTATTCTTTTTATTACCATCACACTCAGAATTCTCCACATATACCATGTGAATGAGTATTTTAACTCTCACAGTGCTATACACACACAGAGACAGTTCCTGGCAAAGACATTTTAAAACTAAATTTAAGACGAAGGACAACAGTGATAGAAATCAGTAGGCGAGCAAAAGAAACCAGGAGATAACCTGTATCATGATGAGAGGACATTTCAACACATGCATGACCTGAGCCAGTGAAAATGTACATAGGCATCAAGTCAAAGATGACATTAAAGGAAACAAAAAAAGATTGGACCAGACGACCTCTCAAGGTCCCTTCCAACCCAGGCTATTCTATGATTTGAGGACAATAAGAGGAAAAATTTGTGGAAACCCCTACCGATGGCAACACCTTACCTTTAGAGAAGACAAATTTATGCAAACAAAAAAACCCACCCAAGTTGCTGCAGGTGATACAACTACACCATACAAGACATCATATACTGTATCAGCAAAAAAACCCCCACTTCTCTTTGCTTACATAAAGAGGTAGGTTTGTTTCTTCTTTACCATATATAAGTGGTAGCATATAAGAATCATCCCATGGACAGGGATGAAGAATACTGATACATTTCATCCTAAGAAAAGCTTGCTTAGGGTAGATGCTTTTTGCTGTAATATGCATATTATTTTTACATGAAAGAGTAAAAAACCCCAAGCCCAAAACCAGCTTCTGTTACCCCGCCTCCTAGATTTCATGTGGTCTCCTGGTGCAGAAAAGTCTTTCACAAGTAAGAAACAGAATACCTGCCACCAGCTATTACAGCTTGATGGCATGTTCACACTTGCAGTAAAAAGCGTGTTTGAAGAAAAAAAGCACAGAACAGCAAATAAAAAAAAAGAATCCTCCTTGTTTACAGTTCGTAAATGACAGCTTAACTTTACAGAAGATCTGGTGCTTTTGTCCAGTGATGGAACTAAAAAAATATTTTTTTTCACAGCTTCAAGAGTTGTGCCAAGAGAGACCTAAAACTTGCAAGGGCCATTAATTCAACTAATTGTAGCTACAGGTAAATATAATCAGACTCAATAGCAGTAAAAACATAATGGGCATTTATTCTATTCCATGGCACAGGAGCAATATATGCAAACAACTATACAGCTTTTTAGTCACAGAAAGATTCTCTAGTGGTCAACACACATCTTGACTACTGACAGAGACTCTACATCTGAAGAAGCAGTTCCTGTTTTCCCTTTAACCCAAAGTTTAGAGAATCTTATTGCATTATCCCTAATCTAAGAAATTCCAGGAAGGTGTACAATCTTTCTTGAATCAGAAAATCTATTCATGGGTTTAGTTTTGAGCCTATGCTTAAGAGCTACTTTCGATGGGGAATGACTGTACAACACTTCAGTGATAAAGAGACAGAACCCTCTTGGCTTCATGATGTGTATTAAACAGAAAATTGCAGGCATCAAAAAACCACAACCTGTGCTTCTTACACATCAGACAAATCACTATTAGAAAGAAGAAAAAAGAAAAAAAACGTAAAACTCAAGTTATCTCAAGAGTATTAAAGATGTAAGGGACTATGACAGATCACTGTATTTAAAACTATTCTTTTCAAACTTACCATTAGCCACATCAGTTCCCTGTCCAAACGAACATTAAAAAGTCAGAAATCTGATTAAATCTTCAAATGAATGTTTCCTCAACTTGTCAGACCTGGTGCTCTGACCTCCTATTCTTAGATCCAGACCTTTTGCTTTGACAATTCTCTCAGGCTTCTTATCTCCCAGTTTAGGAGCACACATTACAAATATCATGATGGAAGACAGCGATAATATTCAACTGCAGCTAGAAAAAAGCCTTATGGTAAAACAGGGCTTTAGAGAAGCCTTGAAAACATCTCCCAACTGCAACACCGTAGTGCGGCCTCTCTCCCACCACATGCAGCAGATGCATCCTGTTAATGGATCGTAGATCAGGCTCCCCAGATGACCCAGGAGGTCACAGAGCTAGCAAGAGGCATGAAGCTGCTCTGCACGAGAATGAGATCCAAGCCAGCTTACAACGCAACAAAGCCACAGCTAACACCAGAAGCCCTTGCTAAATAGTATTTCGTGGGTATGATTACACTGTGAAAGTCTTCTGGGTAGGAGACGTCATTGCCTCAGGTCTTAAAGCCAGTTTGGTATGAAAGACTTGTTCTGGGATTTGTCCTCCTGATACAAATTTCTTCCAGTATGAAAGGACAGGCCTTCAGCCACAGGGGTAGGGGGGGCAAACCAGGAAGTTGATGTTTGTACAATAACAGCACACATTAGTAAGTGATACATGCTACCTTTATTGTAATTTCAAAGCCTCAAGGCTTTATATTACACAATACTACTTTCCTGACATTAAAAATCGAGCACAGAGTACAATGCACTGGGAACAAAATCAAGTTTGCAGACAAATAATGCTACCAAGGATATAATCCAAGGCATACTCTTTAATTTCCTTGGGCAATACTTCATTTTGGTTACAGCACTGGTACAGTCCTCCTTCCCAGTATAACTTAAAACTACTAGTGTAGTGTAGCTGATTTAACAAAACATATTGTTGAGCTCAAGTACACATCTCAGAATGATGCAGCTTTAGCATTTTCTGCTCTCAGAGCCTGCTCTCAAAGCTGGACTGTCCCCTGACTTGCACCAGTATAGCCGACTGAACTCAGGCACCTCCTCTTTCCAAACTATGTAATGCACATCCACTCATCCCCTAAGTAAAAGTGGTAGAAATTTAAGGCTGCATGTCAATACAACAAAAAAGTAATTTCCTTGCTAATGATTTTCTTTTTTGCTCATCTATTTAGAGATACTGATCCACCAAAATTAACTTATTTAAGGGTCTGGGTCCTGACATCAGCGATGTCAGTGAGATAGGGTCAAATCCTGAACAGTCAAGGCAAAGTGGGGAGACAAAAATAAAACCAACCCACCATATTTAATGCCTGCCAAAACTCTTTAGATGTTGACTTTTTTTTAAACCTCTCACTTATCTTGCCTACACAGTGACCTAATGGTTAGGATGAGCAAAGGAGCTGCCCCTCTGCTAGTCTCTTCCCTCTGCTATTACACAGATGACTGCTCCTTACAGCAGAAGGAATTTCGTGAAATGGAGTAGCTGGAAAGACCACACTCTAGTGTCTCTAATTAGTTATGAGCCAAAAATGAAGGGACCTTCCAACACAAATCCAGCACAGATGCTGCAAACTCATACTACTACTTAGTCTGGGTCACAATGCCTCCAGCTTTATTCCAAAACTTATGCAAAAACCTGAAACCACTTAAGGCTAGAACAATAACATTGAAGTGTATAACAATGAGGTATTTGGAATCCTTGAAGGAAAAGTAATGGGATGCCTTAGTGGCCTAGTGGCAAACAGTCAGAATTTGGTTTTTACTGGCTTCCTGGATCAACAGAGTCAGGGAGTGGTTAGAAGTATTTTGGGATGATGAGGAAGGAGTCTCATTTTTCTTCTCAGAAGACGGGCTATATATATTTTTTTACTTCCTACACTTATTTGTGTTTCTCCATGTTTGCTATTCATATATAAAACCAGAACTCTCTACATGGAAAATAAACAAGAAAATACAATCAATCAAGTGTGGACAAAAGGGTAAGATGAGGAAATCTGGCTATGACGCAGTGAAGGTCTACAAGCAAAGACTGTGATTAGCCCTCCAAAACTTGGCTCAGACAGCCTGAGTGTGTAGGTCTGCTTATAGAAACAACATCAGATTTCAACCACAGTAACTACTATAACCTCACTGTCAAGGAGTGACCTAAACCAATTGAGAAACCCTTAATCTGAACAGTCTCAGTGCTATAGCTGTCCTGGTTCTTCACTAGAGAACTTTGCTGGCACAGCAACTACCTCAAACAGTGTGGGTAAAGGAGCCATAAAGTCACACAGAAATAGTTATGCTAGTAAAGCCTAGTATAAAAATAGATACAACTGTGCCAGAAGAATACAGCTTTACTCAGCTTAACGTGGCTAATTTGGGACAGAACAAAGGCAAAAATTTACTTCCAGGAGGGAATCCACCACCATCAAATCCTCTTTGTCTAACCTATCTACATAGCTGGAGATTGTGCTAAAGTGGCCATAGTGGCATAAGTGTAGCGGCAAAGGCGCTTCCAGAGCACAAATGGTTTTAGAGACACTTTAGAGAAGCAGGAGTAAATAAACATGATGCATAAGAGCAAGAATCATTTAACAGTTGAGCATCTTTTAGTAGAAGGGAAAAGAGGAAGTATGGCTGCAAGAGATTTTGAGTGATCATCTAATCTGTCCTGGAGGAGCAGCCAAGCATCAATCATTCCTGGTAAACAGCAACCGTTTGTCTACCTTGTTCTTAAAAACCTCCAGTGACAAGAGATTCTGGCTGAAATACTCTACATATACACTGCTGCTTACCCACTTCTTCAATGATCACTTATTGTTCTTAAAACTCTTAAAAGTCTTTTTTTTCTTCCACAGAGAAGGAAACAGATTCCTATCCCTAAAGGACAGATGTTTATGCTAAAATAGTGTATGTAATAGGGTAGAGAAAGACATATGCAGTCTAGCCTATCCCATAATCCACCCAGCTTTTATCAGTGAAGACAGTTTCAGACACTTCTGCACTCTCTGTAGAGTGGTTAAAGAAACAAATCAACACTTTGCCTAAGGACAAAACTCTTCCCTCTGCCCCCTTCCCAAAAGTGCTCAAGATATCAGAGGATCAACTTATGATAGAAAGAAAAGAAATAATAAGAGTGAAACCCTGGGCAAACAGAACACCTTGAAAGCACAGGAGAAAAAGAGAAGCCTTGATGCAAGCAGAAAGCATGTGGCTGTGCAGAATGGATGATCTCAGTACAGGGAATGGGAGCTGGGAGACACACACAACCCCAACATCAGATGGCAAAAATGCAGAAGACCAATGGGGTACATAAAGCATTATCTTGGAAAGCCATTGGCAAGAAAAGAGGGAAGACCCCTGGAAAACTGTTGGAAAGAAGAAAGATGGGGGGGGGGGGGGGGGGGGTTTGGGGGGGGGGGGGG